TAATAAATCAATCAATTCTTTCTGTGGAGTTTTTTTTTTTCCTCTCCCCTTACAGTCATTAGCGAATGACAATGCTACTGCAAGATCACCAGCAACTTGAATTAGTCAAGGAACGTCAATCAAATTTGCCAGATTTTGCTTTAAAGATGAGGGAAATGGGACAGATTCACAAAGGCCTCTTGTCTTCGAATAGGAAGCTTGATAAACCCTTGTGGAATCTCTCTGAGAGAGGCCTTGGAGGATAATGATCCATTTGGAAGAAAATCAAAATCACTATTACTAGTGACAAATCAGCCAAAACCCAGAAACTCACTAAAGAATCTAAAAATTAATAATTGGAATAATCAGCATCCAGTGTTTCTAGGCAATGCACCATCATAATACCTAACAGGTTAGTGCAGCAAAGGGAAAAAGAGAAATGATCTAGCAAATGGACACATTTTAATTTTATAACTTGCAAAAAAAAAAAGGTTTTAGTTAGAAGGGAATTAAGGGTCATCTGCTGCGTGCTTATCCCTGGGCTTCTCAGGGCTGACCTTAGGGATGCAAGTTAGGAAATAGGGAGTGAGGGACCCAGAGGCAAAGCGCCTAGAGCCCCACTTCTCCTAGGATAAAAGCTCAATTTGTATCTCTTTTTACACCCAAGAGTTCAGTTAAGGAAATGGTTTCTCTAGTTAAAAATAATTTGAGAATCGCCTATTTGTATAGCCGAGACCACTCTTTTCATAAATGACTAAGACAAATGCCAGAGAAATGAAAGAATTCTTAACTTAGTGATGCACCTGGAGCCAGACCCTGGATCACACCTTTCTCCTTGGCATTCTTTCCGCACCCCACCATGCCACGCTGCCTCCTACTCTTAGGGAGCAAATCTGGTGAGAATCCCCATGCCTTTGGATGGGAGCCTTTTTTTTTTTGAACAACCATAAGGAAAAACCAATGAAGCCAAATTAGTGTGAAAAGAGACATAAATGCTGTATTGGAAGCAGAAACATCATTTGCAATTGTACTCCTTTCTTGATACTGTTTCTAGTCACACTGAGGAATTATGTCATCATCCAGCACCGGAAAAAAAGGTCCTAGGGGAGCGTGGAGAGGTCTAGTTCTTTTTTCTTATGTCACCAAATGTATTGCTATTAAGACTGAGAGAAGCCAAGATTTCAGTAGGATACTTGGTGAAAACTTGCTGACATTAATGATTCAAATTCTGAGAGAGACTGCAAGGAAAATGGTGTCATCACTGTCATTCAAGACATTTAAGATGAAATTTCAAAAGAAGGCTGTCAGGCATAATGACTGCCAGGTTCTATTATATCATCCTCAGAGGGTGGATCACACACACTACGATGCAGCCTGTGGGTGGCTGATGTTGAGGTTTGAAAGGGAGCTGCACAGAGAGGAGGTGAGGTGGGCGCAGGACCCCAAGGGGGCTCTTCACAACCAGGAGACATCACTGCTGACATTCACATGGCGACTTGGGGTAAAGCTATGATCCACAGCCCGGGCTGTAGTCTTGGATATGCTGAAACTTGACCTCATCAGGACAATTTGACAAGATCAGGCTCTCCAAGCAGAACAGAATTCAGGGAGGTCTGAGCTATAAATGGTAGTGCCAGTTTATTAATTTATAATGAGAACCTTTCTCCCTAGTGACCAGATGGCCATATCTGATGCAGTCCAGCACCGAGATACCTGCAAAGCCCGACAGTTAATGAGAAGGCAGCTGGGCAGAATGGGGTCAGAGCCCCGGTTCTCAACCTGGACTGCACAGTGAAGTCACCTGGGGTGATTCGACACTAAGTTCATACTCTAAAATAAAAAAATCTGAATCTCAGGGATTAGGACCCAGACATCAGTATTTTTTAAAATCTCCTCAAGTGATTTCAGTGAGCAACTAAGAACCACTGGCTTAGAGCCAAGAGGTCATCCAGGCCACTGTGAAGCTTTAGGCCTCATTCTTCCCTCATGGGGATCCACAGTCTGTATGTCACAGACCAGGAGATTTTTTTTAAACTGGGAGCAGACATAGGTTTGCCAATTTTTTAACTTGCCAAATAAGGACATTAAAAATTCACCTACCATTATTTCATTAAAGAAAGAAAATCTTAACAAAAATTAGGAAGGACACAATTTCAGAATAAAAGATGTACTATGTTATATTCATTTTTCTCATGTTTCTATAGATCAGGGAAAACTTCACTGTATTTTTTTTTATTGAAGTATAGTCGGTTTACAATGTTGTGTTAGTTTCTGGTGTACAGCATAGTGATTCAGTGATACATATACATATATACTTTTTCATATTCTTTTGCATTATATGTTATTACAAGATATTGAATATAGTTACCTGTGCTATACAGAAGGACCCTTGTTGTTTACCTATTTTATATATAGTAGTTTGGATCTGCTAATCCGAAACTCCTAATTTATCCCTCTTCCTGCCCTTTCCCCACCCCAGGTAACCATAAGTTTGTTTTCTATGCCTGTGAGTCTGTTTCTGTTTTGTAAATAAGTTCATTTGTCTCATTTTTTTTAGATTCTGCATATAAATGATAACATATGCTATTTGTCTTTCTCTGCCAGACTTATTTCACTTAGTATGAAAATCTCCAGGTCCATCCATGTTGGTGTAAATGGCATTGTTTCATTCTTTTTATGGCTGAGTAATATTCCACTGTATATATATTCCACTGTGTGTATATATATTCCACAACTTCTTTTTCCAACCATCTGTCAATGGACATTTAGGTTGCTTCCATGTCTTGGCTATGGTAAATAATGCTGCTATGAACATTAGGATGAGTGTATCTTTTCGAATTAGAGTTTCCTTTGGATATTTGCCCAGGAGTGGGATTGCTGGATCATATGGTAACTCTGTTTTCAGTTTTTAAAGAAATCTCCATACTGGAAAAACTTCACAATAAACTGATGCAAAGTTAAGAACTGGCATGATCTAACTGTGGTTCACATATGTAGTCAGGGGTCAGGGCTTTTCTTCTTAGACAACTTTAGATACACTTGGCTGGGTTTTGTTCATTAAGCCAATGTCCTATGCTAACTACCCCTCTCTTACCATGTCCTTTCTGCAGAGGTATTAATTGTATTGGTTAAGTTGTAGGTAATTTCTGCTCCCAGGCTTGGAAATGTTCGGTCTCCTCCAATTACAGAATATGTTGATTTAATTAGCTTAACTCTCCTTAGACACCTAAAAGTTTCTGGACTGGGTGTGACATATGTACCCCCATGTAACCGCTTATTGGGGGCACTGGCACCATCTTGTTTTGCTAGTGCACAATGATGGAAATTACCCTAAATCCCGTGGAGAATTCACTGGGAAGCCAAACCACCTGCGATGAGCTGACTATTCCGTGTGTCAGGTTACATGAAACAGACTTATGTTGTGAAACTACTTTTGAATGCCTCTTTGGAATCCGGTGTATATCCTGTCCTTCTGTGGCCGTGGTGCATGTTGCTGCCTCCTCCCCTGAAGGGACATTGGCATGCTTGAACTGGTTCTATACTTAGTTGTCTATCTTCACCAAGACAGTCTCTGGCAACTACCAAAAGAGGATAGCTGTGCCAAGAAGTCCAAGACTATACCTCAAGGTTCTCCTCAAAGCACTATTAACCTAGACACGCATTCATGCCGACAATGGTGTAGAATCTTCACTTATTAATTTCTTCCAAGCTGCCCCACTTAGAGGTGGATCAAGAGAACAGAAGCTAGCAAAAACACATACTTTCAAACAACTGGAAAAGTTCTCTAAGCACCCAAGATGTATAACTAATGATGGGCCACTCTGCCCTTGTTACTCTCAGCCCAACTCAACCCTCACTGAAAAGCCTGTCATCTCTTCAAAGTCAACGGCTGCTAAGAAAAGCACATAAACCTCAGAATTAGAAGACCTGATTTGAATCCAGTTCCACTATTCTCTTGGGCAAGTGTTTGTTCTTTCTGAGCCTCAGTTTCCTTACCTATGAAATGGGGACAGCAGCATCTTCTTCTTCATCACTTTATATGGTAACTGTGAGAATTAAATAATTTAGGTAAAACACTTAGCAAGGTGCCAGATGTACTAAGTTCTTACTAAAAGTTCACTTTGTAGGTCAGAGCCTAGCACAAGGATGCGGCATAAATAGACACTCGGTGTACACACACACACGAGTCCTATATCTGTTTGCAGAAAGAGGAAGCCCACTGGAAATGCAGAGTTAGAAAGCTGTCACTGAATTCTCAACTCTAGTTTTCAAATCTTGACAGTTTAACTCAATTCACTTTGCTACTTCATCTTGCTCATGCCTTTGTCTCTTGTCTCCCTGACCCATTACCTCTGCTGGGACCCTTGCTTTTCAGTGACGAATTCTTAGTGCCTTCTGTCTGACCATGATCCGTTATTCCCATGAGAATGCCTTTGTCGTCTTGACAGACTCTGGTATTTCTCAGATCCAGAACCACATTCCCTTGCCATTGTCCCAAAGCAACCAAATGTTTTAAAGAAAAGCATATAGAAATCTAGATATTTACATCTGTATTCCCATAGTTGTGTGTGCCAGGAAAAATTTAAATCATACTCTCTACTGATACACTGGTTCTAAATCATGGATCTGGGAGAAAAGAAGTTAGGGAGGGCAAGTCCCGGCGGTTGGTCCACGGAGCTTCATGTCCATGCAGATCCAGTCCAGCCCAATATTTCATGCTGCTACAGTGAACATTTTTCAAAATCAATTAATTACCAATATATACATGTCCTTCCTACCTCTGCCAAAACTCGTCTTCTCTCCCCACCAAAAACAAAACCACACCAGTAAATGAACTTCTCAAGTTGCTAAAAATTTACCATAGGAGCCAAGCCTGTTTCTGAAAGTTTCAACTCACCCAATCGGACAAAAGGCAGAGGAAGGGGAGGCATTTATCAAGTTACACGGAGGATTCCATCTGTTATCTTAGACTTCTGTTACCAAGGGACACAAGAGGAGATACTTGAAGGCAGTTGGAAAGAGTTTTATTTTACAGATTCTAAGTCCAAAGATTTCAAATTAGAGAGAAGCAGCAGCAGAAAAGGAGAGAAAAACAAGCAAGCGTGATGACACCACCTTCATCCTGACATTCTGACATTGAGCCTGTGGAGAAACACCGTCCATGGTTAAGTCGCCTGTTCTAGCTGGGATCTGTCCGCTCAGCTTCCATAATAAATGCAGTTAAAGGGGCAGGCACGTCTCATCAGTCACAAAGGTCTTGTTTTTGAACCTCATCCTCACAAAAGCCACTTCTCATCATGCCAAGCCAACAGAAGAAGGTCATTTTTTGCATGGCTGGGGCATTAAGCTTCGTGTGTGCCTTTGGAGTCGTGACAGCCCTGGGGACACCTTTGTGGATTAAAGCCACCTTCCTCTGCAAAACTGGAGCTCTGCTGGTCAACGCCTCAGGGCAGGAGCTGGACAAGTTCATGGGCGAGATGCAGTACGGGCTTTTCCATGGAGAGGGCGTGAGGCAGTGTGGGTTGGGAGCCAGGCCCTTTCGGATTTCATGTAAGTAATAATTGCATTAGAATTACTTAATACTTCAGGCATGCTCTTCCAAATGTTGAAAGAAATTACTTTTAAGAGCCTTGCCCTGTCTGTTGCAGAACTTTTCAAACAGGTGTGAACGATTTGAAATACCTAGCAGTTTCTTCTTCCTAGTTTTTAGTCTTTTTTGAAATTTTATTAATTATTCCATTCTTTCTATTTTTATTGTGACAACATATAGTTAATGTGTTGCTACAGAGTTAAACTTTTTGAAAAGATAAGCAATTAAAATTCTTCTTAAATATTAATATTTATGTAAGAAATGATGGGATCTTTTTTTTAAAAAGGGGTGAACTTGGGGAAATAGAAAAGCTGTAAGAGACGATTTCTATTTCATTCTTTAATAAAGAACCAGTGTCATAGGCTGCTTTGCTAACTCTGGCTGCTTTTTTCCCTTGCACATAACTTTTATTTCCTGTCTACACCCCTATTTTCCCTGATAGGCCCTTTGCTGTTGATAAATATTCTTTTTTTACCTTAACCAATTTGGATCACTTGACCACAGAAATTTAAAATGATATGCTGTCCTAACTGGGAAAAAACTAGATGCCTATTTAGTATAGAAAATAGGCCACTGATTGACCTTCAAATCATGTAGAGAATACGAGACTGATTTTCCTGTCGCGATATTTGTGAGCTGGAAGTGTTACCCGCAATATTTACAACCTGTTTATCTTAAGAAGAGAATTTTTTAAAAAATTACCATGTGAATAGGCAACTCATTAAATGAAAATTAATAAGAAGTCATTTGTTATATCTCTCCCAGCACACATTCAGAAATTATTATTATTTCAAAAGGGCTGGTTTGGAACAATCTTATGAAGACACAGCCAGTAAATTACTGCATAAATCACTCTTCAGGAAAGGGGGTTACCAATTGAGGCATTTAAAATGAATGATTATTTCGCCTGGATTTTTTTTTTCTCCTAGCATAGGTAGAAAGCTAAATTAATTGAATTTATTATTAACATATGCAGTGTCTAATTAAATTTCAATGCTGGTCTATTTATATTTCTGCAACATTCCTTATAACTTTTTAGCAGTCACTGGACACCAACCTTTAACTCACGTAGGTTATTTTTTTTCTTTTAGGTTATTCAGTGATAGGAATTTGCAAAGGGCTCCAGAAAATCCCCAAGAATTAGTCTTCAGCTTTTTAAGAAATTATCAACTAGGTTTGCCGAAGTGAATAGCCACCCTTTTCACTGAATGGCTTTAGTTCATTAAGGTAACGGTGCTGTTAGAGTTGCTTAGCTTTCCTTAGGGGGGAGAAAAGAGAACAAAGCAGAATGTCACACGATTTGCAACTGTATTAAAAAACAAAAAAGGGAAAAAGATGAGTGAAATGATTTAACCATGAGTCATTGGCAGCTAAAGTATGAGTAAAGCTTCTCACAAAAGAATTTAGACAAAAGCAAAATTCCTCTACAGGGAATTTTCTGGAGCCTTTGCATTTTGTACAGTGAAATGAAGATAAACTTATACCACAGGACATGTTTGAGAACAATAATATGTTTTCTAAACACTTATTAACACAGTAAGCAGTATGCACATTTCGTCTCATTTAATCCTTACACGCCACATTCCCCTGTGTTTGGTTCAATAAGGGAGTTTTCAATGATGGTGTCCTACACTGGTCCCATCTATGAAGAAGTTGTTCTAATCAGGTGTCCCTTTGCTTTCAGTGAAGACTCACAGAGCTGGTGGGGTTTAAACAAGCCCCTCGCCTATCCCACAGAACTGCATTTGTCCCCTGGATACTCTGATCATTTTCCCCAGCCTAGTGAGGAAAATCTTACATTAGACAGACAAATCTAGTTGGAGATTTGCTTTGAATAAATTGTGCATTGGCAGTGTCCATATTCTCAGTGAATTTTTCCTGGTTCTGCTGTACAGTTTATGTGTGTTATTTTTATGTGCAATGTAGGTGTCACTTTTAAAACCCAGATATACAGTATAACGTGAAGACGAAGAACGGACAAGAAAGAGTCAGGCGATGTTGTCCCGTTGTTCCTATTAAATGTTCCCTATTGACCACTCTATCTCTTTTAATTATAACAAAATTCTTCCCTGCCAGTGTGCACAATTATGCTGGGAAAACTTCTGCCTCGTTTACTTGGGCTCATTCTCATCCGTTTACGGGTCAGCGGTTCATTTTCTAGAGGTCACTAGCATTCATACTTAGCACACAATTTCATTCATTATAATGAAGGATTGTTTTCCTTTCAAGGCAACACAACTGGTCGGCTTAATTCTTCCTGCTACGTCACCTGTAAAATTTTAATGATGATGTTTAAACTCTAAATGTAGCCATCAAGACAAAAAATGCCGGTTTTGAGCTCAGGATGTGTGGGTGGGTTTCTGTTTCGGTTTGAAACTCTGCAAAGCATCATCAAAATAGGATCCCCGAGAGTCATATGGTCTAGATCATTCCTAGGTATGCTGGGCTCTTCATTGCCAAGACAGTTCAACAAGCTGGGGGAAACATATGGAATATTTTTTGTTTGAAAGGTAAAAGAGAAAATTTAATCACAGATCACAGCTTGCAACTTAGTCATGCTTTAAAAAGCATTTTAATTTGGACCTTATCATTGAAAACTTGTAAAAAGCTTAACAGTGATTGAGCTTACTTTGTATACTAGAAAAGCAGAGTTTCTTTTGACCAAATGAGGCATACGACCCGGATTGCAGGGGGAAGGTTGAAACTACTTCTGTGAACAAGCAGGTGGCTCCTCAAACATGTTTGGGGTACAATAGTTGTGACTCAAGATCTCTGTGACCCTTGCTGAGAGTTGTCACTTCATCCCGTGGTTTCCTCCTGTCTCCCACTGATCCCACCTATTCCAGGTGACCTATGGTCACCATCCTGTACACCCTGCCTCTCTCCCATCACCCTGCCTACACACGGCAGAGCTGCAAAGGTCTTTAATGCACGTCCTTCTAGTAACACTGCCTGTCTCTCCCCTCTTCCTGAGCGTGCAGTCTGGGTCGAAGCAGGCATGGTGGGGGGTGGGAGGGACACCTAATGAGTTTGGGGAAGTCATGACCTGATAAGAGGGAAGGAGCAAGGAAGTCACTTGTGCCATTTCACTCAGCATGCATGGCCCCTCCATCCTTTTAGCTCAGGGCCCTACTGTCTACTCTCACACATCAAAATAGTCCAGCCAAACTAACATATATAAAATAGGTAAACAAAAAGTTCATACTGTATAGCACAGGGAACTATATTCAATATCTTGTAGTAACTTGTGAAAAAGAATATGAAAATGAATATATGTATGTTCATGTATGACTGAAGCGTTATGCTGTACACCAGAAATTGACACACTGTAAACTGACTATACTTTAATAAAAATATATATATATCAAAAAAAAAAAAACTCCAGCCAATAGAGATGTTTTCCTCCCATTGGGAAAATAATGCGATTAGTGGGATGGAAGACAGCAGTGTTTAGGAAGCACCAGTGTGAAGGGGCAAACTGACTTCTCACAGTTTTCTTTCCTCCTCTATCCTTCCCAAAGCATGATGTTCACACTATTACTCCTTATCACCTTGTATGGTGAGTATTTGAGAATGTGTACTTCTCTGCGAGGAGACTGTGAGCCCCAAGAAAGCAGGGGCTGTGGGTCATTCATCCCGTTCCTCCCTCAAACCTGTACCTGGCACAGTGCCTGGCGCAAAGAGGTACCTAATGTTTAGTAAACTGACACTATTGAGATGGAGCAATTTGGGGCGGGAGCAGGGCTCTGCCACTCACTGGAGATTAGACTTTCAACAAATTATGTCACTTCATTGGTTTTCAGCCCTTGCATCTATACAATGGGAGGTGAAACCAGGTGATCTCTAACATCTCTTCCATTTCAAACACTCTGTGATCTATATAATGAGGAGCTGACTGTTCTTGACAAGGTTCTTTCAGCTTTAAATCTGCATGACCCTTCTAGTTTCAGTCGCTTGAAGCCTCCACTGACAGATTTCAGCCACCATTATTAGCAGTGGTGAGTTTTGTGTGCCTTTGCTCTTTGGTTCTCAAAGCTCATGATTTTTAAAGTAAAGTATTCTGAAATACCCACCATTTATTAGGACCCAGAGGAATTTCATTATCAAAGTGAAGACTCCTTTTTTCCCTGTCATAACCTTTTACTTTTTGTGTAGAAAATTGCAAGTGGAAGAAGGAGAAAATGAAAAATGGGATGGGATGTTCTGGAGTTCTAGAGAGACGGGGCAGTGGGTTCTGAAGAGCAGGAGCAGCCATAAACACCCAAATAATTAAAAGAGAATTATTGAGAAAGCAAAAAAAGGAGAAGATCAAAAGACAGGAAGAGGCTGCCCTATTTCCTTCCATTTTTTTTTCTAGAAACTCCTCTTCCATCCTCACTGAAAAACTCCTCTTTGCTGAATCAGATTTCATAAACTGGTAATGGCAAGTAATGAGGAATGACTAGCATACTTAACACTCCAAGGGTATTCTTTACCCAAAGGCAGAACTTCAGCAGAAATTATCCTCGAATTAGTGAGCAATGTAGGAAAGACGCTTTTGAGAAAAGGAACTTCTGATTCTCCTTGGTTAGTGCAGGACAAAGATGTTTATTTCTTCCTCCTCCCTAACAACTACCTGCAACACCCTTACCAGAAAAAAATCCACCATATTAGTCTTGTTTGAGGACTACAATTTTGCATGTATGTGTACACACACACACCACCCCCAACGTACCTTCCTTCCCTTTAAATTACCCTCCACCCTAAACAGCCAGTAAATTTATTGACCTGGGCTTACCTGAGTGATAAAAGAGAGGCTGACAAGGCTGCTCTGAAGTTCTGCATGCCAGGTCCTAACTAAGTGAAACTTCTGGAACTTAACTCTGGTGTGTGAACTTTATCTGCTGGAGGATGACTCTTAAATTGTTCTCACAATTTGCTGCTCTGCTTTCTCATTTAATCTCTGAGGGTGAGTCATCTT